GGAGGAGGGCTTCTGAAAGGGCCCGACCAGCTCTGCGGCCCAGGGGACTTGGGAATCTCAGGAGGGGAGGGGGGCAGGGAGCACAGTCAGCACAGTGAAAGCATTAGACAGTGGCTCCTCCCTGCCGGCTCAAAGCCTGCACGGCTAGAAGGGCCTCACGAGCACTTGCGGCCAAGCGCCGCAGTGGAAGGCTGGGGGCTGAGAAACCCACACAGGATGAGTGGCACAGTCTCCTCACCGAGACATCGCAGGCCCTGACCAGGGGCACAGCCACAGCCACCTGCTGACAACAGACCCTGGTCCATCACCAGAGCGAGTGCGCTGGGGCGGATGAGCAAGGCATAGCAGGCTACGTCTCCCAGGCCCCTCGTGGCCCAGGGACAGCACCACTGGGGATGCAAGGAGGGCCCGGGCTGCCCGCAGACTGCCTGGCCACAGGCAGGGTGGCACCCGCGGCTCACCGATGGCATTGTGAATGTCCTCCACTGTGCTCTTCAGGCACTCCCGCAAGGGCTCCCTCGGTGTCACCTGGACCTGTGGCTCAGCCTGTGCCCCGGAGCCCCAGCTGCACCTCTCTGATTTAGCCAGGAACTGCTCCAGGTCCTCAAAGGAGCTGTCCTTGTCAGGCAGGCAGGACAAGGTATCTGCCAGGGGTGAGGGTGGCCTGCCTGGGCTATTGTCTTCCCCTTTGTCCAGGGGTCTGGGGAGGAGTGACGGGGTGGCGGGGGGTCCATCCTGGGGCCGTGGGGCCACACTGGGCTCTGGGGGAGACAGCATGCAGTACAGGCTCTGGGAGGAGCGGAGGCGCCGGCCCCCAGTAGGCAGCAGCCTGTCAGCACCTGGGGGCAGGGAGCAGCACCCTGGGGCGGACAGAGCACCAGCACCCCCCCGGCTCACAACCGGATACAGTGCGCTGTACACAGCACACTGCAGTTTCTTCAGCAGCTGCGAGATTGGGTGGTCGGGAAGGCTGCAAGGAGAGAAGCGGCTGCTGGACAGGGCACAGCCTCGCTCGCCCTGTCCCGCCAGCCACAGCGGTGTCCACCCGAGCTGCACAGAGCTGCAGTGAACTTGCTGCTCTGGCCTGGGGCTGAGAACCTGACCTGTGTGAGCCTTACACCCTTGTCGCTGACATCTGTGGCTATGAGCTGCCTCCCTGTCAAAGAGCCACACGCGAACTGCACTGTTTCTTATTAGTGAATGTGCCGAACAGGGTGTGACTGGCCCCATCTAGAAGGCTGAAGGAAGTGAAAATCCTTCTGCGCGAGGGGCAGCCGAGACACAGCTCAAGTCCCGCTGTGGGGGAGCTTCACCTGGTGGCCTTTTACCCCAACAGCTACCTCCCAGCCCTCCTAACTAAGCTCCCTTTCTGGCTGTCCTTCCATGCCACCAAGGAAGCAACAAGAAGGACCAGGTACCTGAGCAGGTGAGACACCAGGCTGGTCACCAGGGACAGGTCCCCTGGGCTCCTCTTGAGTTTGGCCCTCCAGTGCTTTGGCCAGTCCTGCAGGACAAGGGGCCTTGGAGGAAAGCACAGTGGGTCCCCACGATGGGACACCCCTTGGCCTCCCAGGGTGTAGGAGGACCCTGGCTCCCAGCCCGACTGCTCAGCCCAGCAACACTCACATGGTCTTGCTCATACTCGAGGATGGCTGCATAGAGGGCCCGCTGTTCCTGCTCCTCAGGGGTCAAGGCAACCTGACTACAGAACCTCCTGGCGAGGAAGGACAAGCTGGGGCTCCAGGGCTGGACATGCAGGTACAGGAGCCCCACCAGACCTCCCTATTTGGCCCAAGCTAGGAAGGACATGCACCTGTTGGCAGCCTCCTGAAGCCGCAGTCGGCGTTCCTCCATCTTCCGTTGCAGCTGGGATGGCGGAGTCAAGGGGCCAGGATGCCTGACCTGGGCTCCCCTGACCACTTCCTGGACCCACATCTGCTCACTGCAGCATGCTCTACATCCCAGGGGTCCTAGAGGCCGCTGCAGCTGCTACTGACTCCCAGGGAGCCGCTGGGTGAGTAGGCAAGGCTAGACAGAGTGACAGGGACTAAGGGAGAGAGGCTGTCCCCAGGGGAGGTGCCAGGAAGTCGCATCTCAGGGAACCTGAGGATGGTGAGCAGCTGCTGTGCGAGGCACCAAGGATGAGCACCTGCAGAGGCCCAGGGAACGCGGCCCTCGCCCTGAGGACGCACTTCCCACAGCTCCTCCCCCTTCTCCTCTGCCTCTCCCCTCAGGATGGCAGGAGCAATCAGAAAGGATGCCGTTTCCTCGCGGGCTCTGGCAATCACCAGGTTTTCCATCATCTGCCGTTGCAGAGACAGGGTCTAGGAGGCAAGGAGGGGGGAGGCAGTTCTTCCCACTGTCCGGGCCCTCCTGGGCAACTTAGGCCCTCCCCTGGTTCTGCTCACCAGCGATGTCTTCTGCATGGCCTGGCTAGGGTCCAGACGGGCCATCCGGGCTTCGTAAGTAGCCTTCAGTTTCTGATTCTGTAAGGAGGCCTCCTCCAGTGGTGTCAGCTCCCTGGAAGTGGTAACAAGCTGCCACCCAGACCAGGAAACCCAGGAGTGCTCCAGTGAGCCCAATGACCTCCTTTGAAGCCCTCCTGACATCACTGAGACCAGGGGAGAAGAGGTGGTGGTGGCAAAGCAGGAAGGAAATGTGGAGGGGTCTGAGGTAGGCTACAGGTACCTGGCCCTGTAATATGCCATAAATACTGGCTTCATTAATACCAGAACTTTTGATTTCTCACAAGAAGCTTGACCTCTGGAGTTTATAGAAATCAACATGAACCTTGTCAAAGGCATGGGCTAAGCCAAACAGGGAGAATGGTTTGCAACCACAAAACAGAGAGCTCTGCTTGTTCCCCGGGGTGCGGGGTTCTGGAGCAACAAGCTCCTCCATGGGGTGGAGGGTAATGGTGGGGGACCAAGACTGCAGCCCACACTTGGCCCTGGAGATGCAGACAAGGTGCCTGGGTGCCCCAGCAGCAGGCAGAGGAGCAGACCCCAAACCACCCAGGGCTTTGTGCCTTCAGGTATTTCTCACTACCATCTGCCATCCTCAGATATGATGTCTCCCCCATTTTCTTTTATTTCTTTTTGTAGAACTTTTTAAAAAAATGTGCATTGGGCCTTTCCTTCCTTGGGCTTTCTGTCTGTGCACCTGCTGGGTAAATGTATTGCCAACTCACTCACTTCGTTCAGCTGGACCTACTCTGCTGTCACAAACTCACCTGTTCACTCTTGAAGGTATGTATGTACTTCTAGACAATATGGTCTTGTTTCCTACTAGCTTTTACTTTTTATTTTATTTTTTTTTCCAACTAGGTTTTAAAAATCACTTCAAGGGCCGGGGAGATGGCTCAGTGGAATAAGCACTTCCCTGGCAAGCACAAGGGCCTGAGTTCAATCCTCAGTTGGGGGGGATCACTTCAATTAAAGCACCTGCAAGCTGGCGCAGGGGCGGGGAGTTCAATCCCTAAGCCAGCCTCGCCCCCAGGGCACGATGAGACAGGCAATTGAGACTGGGCGTGCTGGCGCACACCTATAATCCCAGCACTTGGGAGGCTGTAAACAGGAGGATCACTACAAGTCTGATCTAGTAAGTGAGACCCTGAACACCCTGTAGACCTTTCCCTAAAAATACCAAAAAAAAAAAAAAAAAAAAAAAAAAAAAAAAAAAAAAAAAAAAAAAAATCACATCAGTATTATACTGTTTCTTTCATTTCCACTTTGTCCTTCATTCGCTAGCCTGATTTCAGTTTCTTACTTCTTGCAGGTGATTTAAAACTTGCCTGTTGTTTCTCTAAATACAGACAACACTTTGCTGTATGCCTGACATTTCCACCAGAAAGCTTTGCGGTTCAGTTTCTTCTCTCGCAGTCTGTCTTTCTCGCGAACCGGCGACTGAACTCAGAACCTCGCGCTTGTCAGGAGGGCTCTATGCCGCCAGCTGTGCTCCCGCCCGGCCTTCTTTCGGCTTCATGCTTCCTCTTGTGCTCTGCTCTCGCTATACATCACCAATTTTATGAAAGACCATGGTCCTTTCTTCCTAAAAGGATCTGCCTCTGCTCTGCCAGGCCAACAGGTATTGCTTCTGTAGGCACTGCAACTCGAGGGCGCGCAGCAGCGCCTGGGCAAGCCAGCGGGCTCCCTGCTGAGCTGCAGCTGCACCTCTGTGACCCGCTTCCCTAAGTCCTCCACAGTGAGCTAACCTCGCTGGCCTCTAAACCCAGCCACAGCCTGCATACCTCCCCTCTTGCCATCTTACTTCTTGGAGCTTTGGGACTCTACTGCCTGAAGTTTCTGGAAGATCTCCGGGGGCAGGAATGGAGAGAGCTTCCCTCCTTCATCTGAGCACACCCGGCGGTGTCGACCAGTAGGTGGCGCAGGAGCAGCCACGGGCGCCGCTGGCTTAAGGAGCGTCTTGCCTGCAAGCCACACACATGCAGGGCAGGGCTCAGCGCCAGGGCTGAGCAGAGGACACGGGGAGCAGCCGGGACAGTTCCCTCATGTGGGCACCCACCGAGTTTGGCAGCTGTTGACTGGGCCCGCTCCAGACACTGCTCGGCCAGCTTTAGCATCTTTGAGGTGTCAGCGGGCATCGTGTCCCAGGCGTCTGGGGCAGAGATGAGAAAGGGGTGACTCTCTGCGTCACCACGAGTGAGGTCCTTGCCGAGAGCAAAATGAGGATGTGGAGAAGCCTGCTCTCTTCAGACCTAATGTGTCCGTGGACACTGTCCACACCTCTGCTCCCACACTGACTCTGGCCACCTGAGGCTCCCATCAGCCCCCAGTGCGGCTGGTTCAGCCCCAACTCTTCGCCCCTCCTCCTGGCACTGGTGCAGGCTCACTGTCCTTCCCACAGAGCATCCTGAGCCCCCCTTGCGCTGGCCTCTCTCGGGGCCTCTATAAGCTTCCTTTGCTGCGGGCGCCCCTCTTTGTGCAGCCCACTCCTCCCAGCCCTGGGCCAGGATCTTGATCCACTTAAGGACTTATCTCCTTAGCTGTAGTGCTGTTCCTAACATCACGCTGTGGCTTCTCAGGCTCATGGGCCACCTTTCGCTATTGACCAGGCTGGAAGGACACAGGAGACCCCCAGGCTCGGGCCCTCTGAGGGAAAGCAATGGCAAGGTGTCCCACCTTTAGTGGACTCCTCCAGTAGCACCTGGGAGATGTAGTGGATGCTCCTCAGGTACTCCATGTACGCCTCCTGTGTCCAGGGAGAGAAATGCTAGCGCCCAGGCGGCACAGCACAGGGCTGGCTGCACCACGCTTGGCCAGTACCCTTGTGGAAGCCACAGGAGCGGCAGTGCCCGCTGATTCAGGAACGTCCAGTCCGGCGGGCAAGGTGGGTAAAGGGGCGGCCACGGTGTCCGGACTCAAAGGAAAAGATGTCAGAGTACTTCTTCCTACAACTTCCACACTGGGCAGTGAGAGCAGAGCCCACACGGGCGTCCACTGCTCCTCTGTCTTCCCAGACACATTTAGTGGGCCACAGAGAAGCAGCCTCAAGTTTTTCACTCTGTGCAACAAGTTTCCTTCCTGTGTAACTTAGTCTATTCATTCCACGACATAAGAAAAGTGTTTCCTGAGGCCACCGAGTGAGGTTCCAAGCAACCAGCTTGTTTTCGGGTTCGGGTGAGGGAACCCCTGCGCACACGGGGCCTGCAGCCCTGAACCTGCAATCCCGGGCTGTGCCAGCCGTCTGGCGCCAGCAGAGCTGAGGCATCAGGCACCGACAGATGCGTGTGCGCGTCTCAGCCCAGCTGCCAGTCTGCACCTCTGGGAAACAGTACACGCTTCGGACGGGACTTCGCCTCACGGCCCGCCCGGCGCCCCGGAGAGCCCGGGAGGTGCGACTCTCCGAGCGCGCGCTTCCCCCCGCGGCGCCGCCGCTCTCCACCGCCCTCCCGCCGCGGCAGTCGGCCCCCAGGATGACAGCCGGCGGCCGCAGTCCGCCCGCGCCCGCGCGCTCTCCGCTGCCCGCCACGCGTCCCCCGGAGCCGCTTCCCAGTCTCGGCCCGACGCCCCGACTCGGTGACCCGACGGGCAGGGAGGCCAGGAGCGACTCCGAGACCGGGCTTGGGGGTCGCCTGCCGGACCGGTCGCCCAGCCCGCCCGCAGCTCGCCCGCTCTGCCCAGCTCACCCGCGGCCGGTTGCCGGTGTCCAGCTCTATGGCTCCGTTGGCCATCTTCATAGCGCTCTGCAGGGGCTTCGCCGGGCCGTCCCCGGCCGCAGCTGCCATGGCGCCGGGCGGGGGAGGTGGCGACGGAGGGGCGGGGCGGGGCGGAACGCAGTGTACGCGGGCACGGGGGCCGCACGAGCCTCTGAGAGCACAGGGACGTGGACGCACTTCCGGTTTCGTACTTCCGGAAGACCCGCCCCTGAGCGGCTTTGGGTCGGCGAGGTAGAAGTTACGACGGCGCGCGAGGCGGGGCTTGGGTCTGGTCGGGGGTGGCGACGCGGAGACCGGCGACCCGACCTTGCACGCAGCCGCCTGGCGTACCTCTCTGTGCGTGGGGTTGCGGTCTGCCGCCCACTACCCCGCCTAGTCATAGAAGGGCTGCGGGGACCAGGCCGCCGCGCGCCAGCGTGTGGCGACTTCTCAGCGACCCGAGCCCGGCGCTTGCGGACTGCCTCCGGAGCACGGTCATCCTCAGGCCGGAGAGGGCGCGCTCCCCGCCTCGGCCGGCTTCGCGGCGCGCCCTGCTGCGCCGCCGCGTGGGGTCTCGTCCCTCCAGGCGCGCGGCCGCCGGGGCCCGAGTGGGGCGGGCTGTAACTGCGCGGCCACAACCGAGAGGGCCCGAGCGGGCAGATGCGCCGGTGCCGAGAGGAACCGAGCCGGCAGACGAGCGGGGCCGAGCGGAACTGAGCGGTCGCAGCCGGGCGGAGCCAAGCCGCGCGGAGCGCCCGCGCGCCGGCCCTC